TTCGAACAAATTACTTAGGTAGGGTTGAAATATTAATTATCGTGTGGCATAGTCGCTAGATATTTCACACACAACAGGATACCGATTTTTGGACGAGCTTCTTTCCGATCGCCCGCAAAATGCATACTCTGTAACAAAAGGCTACTTCAGTAGTTTAACTTTACCTCGTTGGTTATTGATGCCCTTATAACTTCAAATATATTTCATATCAAATATGCACAGAATGTTATTTCTTGTACTCATTTGATAACAAATTATTTCTTTACCTATTGTACTTGAGGAAGGGGTAGCTCTTCGTTTTAAGTATCTTATTATAAAATTTTTAAGACCCTGAAATGCTCATTCATCTGTCAGTTTATTAATATCGTCTATAAAGCATGCAATATGATCCACGTCCATTGCAAACGTTCATGAGCGCTATGTCACCTCTCTATTCTAACGTAGGCACATGTTTGACGCTTCTTACGCAGACTGTATACAGCATGCAGTTTTGAAACATTGAATGCCAGTATGACGGCCGTTAGGGCCCAAGATTGTTCGGAAATGTAAAACTTTTTTGAACCCGGAAGGTATCATATTTGAAGAAGAACCAACTTGCTACCATATTCATGCAGAAAATAATATTTTGATGCATTAGATTTAAGCAGCCATTTTTTTTAGCAAGTATAATTTTTGCGTGCGGTCGAAAAGAAGCTCATTCAAATCCGAAATATATTGAGGTTAAATTGAACAATAATCAGTCTAAGTATTTGTTTTCGGATTTGTTCAGAATTTAAGTTGATATTTCATACGCCAGGACATCGACTGTTTGGCCTTTACAATCGCTTCCTCCTCCTATGTATTTTCCTCATTGAATCAAAGCGAAGTTCACGTACTCAGCTATAAATCGCTTCTAGCTTACTAAAAAAATGGTTAAAATTTTACTTTAGTTTCTAGCATAGAGGGTGATTTAATCGCGGACCTATTATTTAGCCAATAAGTGGTGAGAGATGTTACACAAATACCTCAAGCAGGCGTGAGTCTTGGATTACTTATCACCGGATGTGTACGCTTTGCTCAAATAGCAACTTCTGTTCTTAATCATTTACTTAGTTTTGCCTGGTTTTTCAAACCTATCAGCCCGCCGTTTCGGGCCTGTGTATTGGCTTCCTGTTTACCCTGATATGGCCTTCTGTCATATCTACCGGTGATGTTTTGGTTTTTCTTGCAGTCGTATTGCGTACGCGGGGGCTGCCGCTCTTCCCAGGACTGGTGTCAGACGCTCTGGGGCGATACGGCGACACCTGCCGGTTATGGTTGTATGGAATATAACATGCGGTTGTCCAGGGACAGGAAAGCGGATGATGTGGCCAACTGTGGAAAGTCGAGACCCATCGCAGAGGAACGTTGGAACGATGCGCAATCCTGGCCGAGTAAAGTCTGCAAGACCTGGTATATGTCAATCATATGTTTCCAAGTTTTTTTGTAACCTTCCTATTCTGTAGTACCGTAATTCATTGTACTTGCTCAACCGACAAAGTAGAGAACTCGTGGACTACAGGTAGAGTAGTGAACTCAATGACCAAAGGTCCCGGTTTCAAATCTCGGGGGTTCCAACCCTCGAGATTGTGTATGACTGGCTGGTGACGGCTAATAAGCCAGAAATGGCCATTCCGGTCTCCTTTTGCTTTGTCGGTCTAATAAGCCAGAAATGGCCATTCCGGTCTCCCTTTGCTTTGTCGGATCCTCTTCATCACATCCGTAATTATTTACTTGGTGCATATGCACATAAAAATAGCACAGATGACAACTTTTTCGTTTTAAGTAAGTATTATGTTTCTGCGAACTAGTTTTGCCATGAATTTGCATGCCACAGTTTTTATATAAAAACGAAGTTGTCCCACCACCCAAACAGCAACTACTTAAAGTTCTTTCTATTCTCTCCTGCCCACCTAATACCCTCCAGTTGTTTTAAAAATTATCCGCGCCTCTTACACTATTCATTGTAATATCATAAAGGTTACTGTTTTAATATATCTGGTCCTCAAACTCTTGACGAGTATATTTTTAAACTCCCTAGGGGTGTTGGGAAACTAGCCATCCAAAATTAGTCCGCCGGGAGTAGAACGTTTACATTGATTAGATCACTTTTTAGCATCTTTTAAGCGAAACCCTTGTTGTGTAAGGGTCCAGATTAATGACGCCTTCGTCCTTCTCCTATTCGATAGTCCTAACAGACTTGCTGAGCTTTATCGCATTGGAATGTCTTTATTATCGGTAAATTGGATCTATATTTATTACCCAGTCGCCAAGTTCGGATCGTTTTTTGTTGATAAAATGTCGCAAACCACCTCTTTGGGTGTCCGGTATAGTTCGGTTCCTTTACAAAGTCTCCTTGTAAGAAATGAAGCTTTTGTTTTGCATTCATCGCTGTTGGATGTCGTTAATTGTTCTCATTTTCATCGTCTGCTAACATGTTACATTTTATTTAATTTATTTAGGCACTCTGATTACCAATACTTTTTGGAAACGCAGTTTTTCTGCGCTATTTGCACTCCATTGTTATTTCGCCTAATCCTTTGTTTCTAATGTACTGTAACAGGGAGGATGCGCAGTGTGGTCGTCTCTGGTGTCTTCACAGTAACGAGAAAGCAATGCTCTTGGGTTGGATTCAGTCTCAGCAACGCGTGGATCCGCAGTCCGGCCGGTCATGCCTGGCTCTAGTATACGATCCGGTAGACGTTGTCTCCTATCCCTCTGCCTTAACCTCCGTATCAGGCGCCGCTTGGGGCTACACGGCGGCAAAGTCGCAAGATGCAGGCATGGTTCCGGACGGAACTCCCTGCCGCT